CGAGGGGCCTGGGACCCGGGAGCAGCCCGTGCGCGGGACGGGGCGGGGGTGGGGGGCAGCCTCCGAGGACGCTGCTTTGGATGAACTCGTCACCGGAGATGAAACCTCCTTCTGGGATGTCATGGTAGATCCCTCCTGCTATGTCACTGTTTGAGGCAAGGCCTCTTTCCCATGACGTTATCACAGAGGAAGAGCCCTGCCCGTGAAGTCATCACTAGTGAAAATGTCTGTGTTCTGTGATGTCATCACAGGGACAACACCTTCTTCCCAAGAATCCATCACAGAGGAACAGGCCCACCCCTGAGGTCATCGCTAGAGGCCATGTCTCTGTTCCATGAAGTCATCACAGACTTTCTCCCTGTGATGTCACAGCAGAGACAATGCCTTGTCCTATGACATCATCCCTAGAAACAAAGATTCCTTCCTGTGAATGTCACTGCAGAGACACATCTCACCCTGATGATGTCATCTCTGGCACCGAAAGGCCTCTTTTGACATCATCAACACCAGAAAAATATTTCCTTCCAGAGAAGATGTCTCTGTCTATGATGTTGTCACTACAGACAAAGCCATCTTCCTAGGACACATCACAGGGGAGAGGCCTTGCCAACTGTGTCCTCCCTACAAGTAAGACCTTTCCAGGACACTGTCACAGGGACTCTGCCTCTTTCCTGTGACACCATCTTCAGAGAAGGTGCCTTGCCCTATGACATGATCAGAAGGACTGTGCCTCTTCATGTAATGGCACCACCAGGGAGGGCAGCCCGCTTTGGGGACACCTCCGGGATGAGGGCCCTTCTGCGATCTCACCTCTGGACTCTGCCTGTTCTGGGGTCACGCTCTAAGATGCCTCCATGCCAGGTCATGAGAAGGCAGGGCAGGCCCTGGATCCATGGCAACCCTGGGGTCACCCAAGAAGGTGCCCTGACCTGAGGAGTTGTCTAAGGGATTGTCTCACTGGGGAGGCAACCCCAACTGCAGAAGTCTCCACCGAGATGATGATCTGACTGTAGGTTGTTGGCAGCCACTGAGGCTCCGTCCCAACGCTGTGATGTCATCACCAGAGACACTGCCTGCTCTGGAGGGCCGTCACTTGTGATGGTGTTACCAGAGTTTCTGCCTTGTCCTGCCATGACTTAACGTGGTCACTCCGTTCCCTGACACCAGGGACACCCCCTGCAGGGTCTCCAGCAGACCCTCCCTCTAAAGGGTGGTTGGGCCTCAGAACCCACCCTGCTCAGTGATGGCTCCTCCCGTGTGACTCCTGGAGGACAGGACTCCCAGACTGGCTTCTGCTCCCAAGGAGGCCACTCTAGCCTACCAGTGTCCCAGAGTCCTGGGACGCATAGTGGCCCAAAGGCTGGTGTCACTTCTTTCTGCCATGACTAGAGATATCATTGCGTCTGTCAACAAACTCCTGGCTTCCTGTTGGGGGTGAGGTGGGATGGGGTTGGTTGGGGTGTACCCACTATTGATTTTGCTGATGATATCAGTACCGTAAGACTTCCACCACTCATGATGGCATTGTACCTGGGGTCAAATGCTAACCATGCCTGATGATGACATCACTTCCCAGGATTCCCTATGACCTATGGTGTCTTCATCTCCCAGGATCTACAACCATTGTACCATCATCTCCTAAGATCTACCATGACATATTAGGTCATTACCTTCCAGAATCCTCTATGGCTGATGGTAACATCCTCTACCAGAATCCACGAGTACTGATGATGCCACCATTTCCCACAGTCCCCCATAATTGTGGTGTCATCATCTCCCAGGATCCACTTCAACCATGATGTCATCACCTCCCAGAATCCAGTGGATCCTGGGATCCACCTCCCAGGATCCACCTCAACCATGGTGTCATCACCTCCCAGGATCCACCTCAACCATGGTGTCATCACCTCCCAGGATCCACCTCAACCATGGTGTCATCACCTCCCAGGATCCACTTCACCCATGATGTCATCACCTCCCAGAATCCACTCCAACCATGATGCCATCATTTCCCAGGATCCACTTCAACCATGGTGTCATCATCTCCCAGGATCCACTTCAACCATGGTGTCATCATCTACCAGGATCCACCATAACCATAGCATCATCATCTCCTAGGACCCATGACATCAAAATATGTCATTTACTGGGATCCACTTCAACCATGCATCACCATCTTCCAGGATCCATCATTTTGAGGGTCAAGTACTAAAATGGCTGTATTTCAATTGTTTTCTGGGGTCCCATAGCACATATAACTGTTCCTTTAAGGGGAACTAGCACAATACACACCATTTTTCCATTCCTTCAAAAATGGAATGGGTGGGGTCCCCTCTGATGACATCAACCTTAGCCAGCCCCTTCTTAATGATGTCACTGCCTCCCTCCTGACTTGAGCTGATGCCTGCATCAACCCCACCACAGACCTGGTCTTGGGCAGACCCCATCACCCCCTGGTGAGGGCATCCAGGCCCCTCTTGATAACTCACAGCCCTTCACCCAACCATCTGATCGGTGACAGGGTCAACACAGAAAACTTGTCATCACAGGAGGAGTGGGGGATGGGCCTCATAGTCCTCAGGTGACATTCCTGCCCCTGTTACCTGGACCCCCACACAAAACAGCACTCCACTGGCTTGGGCCAAACTCTCCTCAAAGACCCCATGGGCTGGGTGGACAGCTGCTGACCTCCCTGGGGCCTTCACTCATGTCTTCTGCTGGCCTGGTCTTGGAACAGGCACATCTGGAGGGCCATGGCCACTGCCAAGGCCATGGGGTGGGGAGGTGCTCTGCATCATCTCAAGATGGTGGGGAAGCAGCATTCTCTCTTAATTCCCCCTCACACACCAGGGAGCCTCCAGGGGTTTTGGGGATTCCTCAACACCCAATGCACAATTTGCCCCAATTCTTTGTATATAGCCATGTTGCCGGGGGCGGCCATTCCCCCACTCTTAAAGGGCTACATACCCCCTCCCCAGCCCCCAAGGCAAGGTGAGGGGGCTTCTTCTCCCTCCTCTGGGCCGTCCCCCTCCCTCTTCTGTCTCCCCCCAAATATTGGCACCTCAGCTCGTTCTTTCTCATCAGAAACCTGGGGCAGATAACTGGCCCTCAGCTCCCAGCACCCAGGGGAACTGGGGAGCAACCCCAATCTACCTGGGCCCCCGTGTCCATGCTTCTAGCTGCTCCTGTGGGTTCCCTCAGTCCCATCCAGGGCCTCCCTGTGCCCAACACCCCTCAGGCAGACTGTGACATCCCCCAGAAAGGAGCCAGCTTGAGCGCCTGTCCCCTTTCACACCCCCAGCCCTCTGCTCCCCACCCCCACTGAGCACTCAGCTTCCCCCCCGCCGCCCCCGGAATATAGGGGCTTGGGGTCTTTCAGCTTTTGTACACCGTCCCCCCCTTCCCCAGACTTGCTGTCTCCTGGCCTGGAGTCCAGGTGTCTTGTTCCCTTCCCTCCACTCACTGCCACAGGCTGCCTGACCTTGGGGTCTTGACCTCTGATCTCAAATAAGCCATAGTGGGGAGAGGTCTCCAGCAGGTGAGGAAGCGGGCTTGTCCTACCTGATCCCCCTCCATGCCTCCAGCGCTGGGACCTCGCCAGCTGCGTCTTCCGGCCCCAGACAAGCGTGCATGAGCACACTCACACACACACACCCTTTCTGGGGAGGGGCAGAGAAGGGGTGCCAAGGGAAGATAAACAGTTCTGGACCAGAAGACTCCACAGCTTCTTTATCCCTCCCTCTCTCTGCTCAACACCAGAATCTTCCCCGGAGTCCCTTGGTGAGGACAGCGGGCCGAGTGGCAACTTGGTATTTTTTTGGAATAAACAGATGTTTCCTGAGCCAGGGTCTCCAGGTTTACTGTGGGGAAGAGATGGGTTTCCACCTCCGCGTTTGTCACTGGGGAGTCCCCTGTGTGGCCGAGGAGGGGGCAGACATCTAGGAGGTGGTCAGGGCTGCCCCAGAGTCTGCCTCCAAGCCCGGAGTCAGGGATGGAGCACAGTGCCTTTATGCCCTGGGCACCTTCCTAACAAAGCCTCTTCCCTCGGGGCATTCCAGCACTGGTTTGTGCCTCCTTCTGGGTGAGTTCCCTGGCGGAGGCTCATTGAAGTGGGATGCTCTGGTCATTTGCTGGGGCTGCTGTAAAAAGCAGCAGGAGCAAGCGACGGCAATGGGCCACCTGCTGGTTCCTTGAGAGGTTGGCGGGAGGGCTGGTACCGGTGCTTGCCCCCAGCTTCTGGGGTTCAGCTGGCACTGGCTGGGACCCCTCCACATGCACAGCACCTTCCCTCTGTGTACAAATTCTCCATTTGGTGAGGACACTAGTCCACACCCTCAGTGACTTCTACACTCAATCATCTGCAAAGACCCTATTCCCAAGTAAGGTCACGTTCACAGGTCCCGGAGGCAAGCATTTCCACAGCTCTTTGAGGGGACACGATTCAAACCAGAAAGTGGGTGTAGCATGGCACCATTCATTCAAACACCAGCTCTTATGAGAACCCGGGAGCATTTTCCCCAGTGCACTAAGACATTAACATAGTGATGATAAGAGCTGCCCGCCCCAATCTTAGTGTCTTGACTGTGAACCACAGTGGGGAGAAGAGGTGCCTCCAAGGCTTGGCTGTATGAACTTTAGGACACCCCCTCCCTGGGGGCATCCAAGTGTTTGCTGAAAATTGTAGGCTCTGTTGCATAGAAGGATCTCATTTTCACATCCCTCTGGGCATGTGTTGTGGGCTGTACACTTCAGTATTGACTTTATCACTAAGAAAACCCCTTCCTGGGATGCTTGGCTGGCTCTGTCGATGGAGAATGTGATTCCTAATTTCACGGTTGTGAGTTCAAGCCCCACACTGGGTGTAGAGATTACTTAAAAATAAACTCTTTAAAAGAAAATAAAGGAAACCCCTTCCTCTCTGGTGCATTTAAATGTTTTCCCAAATTTTAGATTTTACTCTATCAATCAGTGTTCTCCAGAAAAACAGAACCAATAGGATTTGTGTGTGGGCAGATTAATTTTAAAGAACATCTCATGATTGTGGGAGGGCTGGCAAATCCAAAGTCTGTAAGGCAGGTTGAGAGGCTGAAAATTCAGGCAGGCTTTCTCTGTTACAGCCTTGAGACAAAATTCCTTCTTTTCTGAGCTATATCAGGTTTTAGTCTTAAGGCCTTCAACTGATTGGATGAGGCCCACCCATCTGATCTAGAATAATCTCCCTTACCTGAAGTCAATGGATAAAAATAATCACATCTGCAAGGGGCTCCTGGGTAGATCAGTCAGTTAAGCATCAGCCTCTTAAAAAAAAAAAAAAAAGATTTTATTTATTTGAGAGAGCACAAGCAGGGGGAAGTAGCAAAGGAGGAGGGAAAAGCAGACTTCCCACTGAGCAAGGAGCCCGACACAGGGCTCAATCCCAGGATCCCGGGATCAAGACCTGAGCAGAAGGCAGATGCTTAACCAACTGAGCCACCCAGGCAACCCAAACATCAGACTCTTGATTTCGGCTCAAGTCATGGTGGGTCTTGAGATCAGGACCAGCATCAGGCTCTGTACTCAGTAGGTAGTCAGTTTGAGATTCTCTCTCTGCCCCTGTCCCCAACTCTCTCTCGCTCGCTCTCTCAGATCTTCTTAAAAAAAAAAAAAAAATCACACCTATGAAATACCTCCTGGCAAGATCTGGACTGGTGTTTGACCCAACAAGTGGGCACATGAAATCTAACCACCACCACACCCCCACACGTGGAGGTGTTTGCTTGCAGGAGGAAGAAGGGGGATCTGTGTCTGAGAAAGCCTCATCCTAAGTGCTAAGCATTTGGCACTGGCCAGATTTCCCCCACTCAGGCACACCTACCTGGCTACAGGGAGCGGGGCGGGGGCGCTGCGAACATCACTGTTGTGCTCACTTGGAAAGCGCCCCCGCCCCCGTAGGGAATTTAGGCAACACTGGCGCGGTCTCAGCAATCACCTCTCCCACCCGGTGTCTTCATCGGGGCAGATGGGGCTGGGCAGGGAGGACGGGCGACTGTGCCGTGCGTCTGACCAGCGGTTTGCTGAGCACTCAGAAACTCTCCTCCTAGGGACACAGGAGGGCCGTACGGCCCTGCGCCTCGAGATCAAATGAGCCCTTGTGATTCGCGAGACATGGGAGCAGAAGTACCTTCCCAGGGAGAAGCTTGAGAGCCAGCAGCAGCCGGATGCCTACGTCCTTCCATTTCCCTCGCCATGGGCCCAGGCGAGGCTTGGGGCGGACGCGGGCATCTCTACCTTCATGGCCTGACACGTGCTCGGTCTTCGGCAGCGCAGCCTCGGTCAGCACGACCCCGCGAGGCTCCTCGACCTGACCGGCCAGGTTTGCAGCGTCTCAGTTCCACAGCAGACGTGATGTGTGTGTGGACCACCCCCCCACTTCTTTTACCTTCGTGTTTCGAAATAATTTCAAACTTGCAGAAAGGAGACAAGAACACATCCACGAACCCCGTGTACCCTTTGCCCGTTCACCAATGGTTAACTTTTCCACACCCCGCTTCAGGGTTTTCTTTCCCTACAAATACACGCCCCCTTTTTCCCCCTCTGGAGGCATCTGGGAGTAAGCAAGCCGCCTACGCCCTACCCCTTCACCCCAAAAAGGACGTTTCTGAAGAACAAGAGCATTCTCTCCCGCGTCCACGGGATGATTAAAACCAAGCACTTCAGGCTGATAAAGACCACATTCAAGTTTCACCGACGGTCCCCATATTGTCCTTTGGATCAGGTTCTTTTCAGTCCCTGTTATGTGAGGGTGCAGCACTGCACCTGCTTACGTCTCCTGAACAGTCCCTCGGTCTTTTTCATGACAGTGATGCTAGCCGAGCACCATGGTAAACAGAAGTACCCCGGCCGAGGGTCCGGTGACACCACGGGCCGTTGCGCTCCACTTGGTGCCTCCACAGCGCCTGTCCTGCCCAGATCAGGTCCTGCTGTGCTGTTCATCAACAGATAATGTTCGACTCTGACGGTTCCTCTGGCATTTGCTAGCATTTGCGTGTGACTCCCCCGGGGAAAGAGGACGCAGTCCCTTCATCAGACTGTGAGACACACCAGGGATTCCAACAGCAAATTCACCAGCATTTCCAACGGCGGCAGAGTTTTCCACATCCTAGGGACATGTGGACGTGGCTACAGGACAGACATACGGCAGTCCCTGCCCACACACGCTTGCGCTTTTCCCATTTTTCTCTGCTATAAACAACACCCTGAAGGTCGCCTATCACACACCACTTGGTGCTTTCACGTCTTTCTCCCTGTGGTGTGTTCCCAGGAGATGAATGGCGGAGTTGGAAGGTTTCAAACATCTGTGGCTTGGGGCTGCCTGGGTGGCTCAGTCGGGGAAGCGCCCACACTTGGCTGCAGCTCAGGTCGTGGTCTCAGGGTCTGGTGATCGAGCCCCACGTCAGGCGCCACGCTCAGCAGGGATCTGCTTGGGATTCTCTTCCCCTCTCCTTCTGCCCCTACCTGCTCTCAAACCAAGTAAATAAATGAAACCTGAACAATGAACTAAATGAAGATTTGCTACTTCAGTGCGAGGCCGCATCCTGGAGCGCCTGTCTGCCCCCACTGGTCTGCTGAATCCGGGAGGGCGTCAGAGAGATCGGTTTTCCAAGCATCAGAGGAAGCCCCTAGCGCCCGAAAGCACGTTTGTTCCAGCGTGAAGTCGGCCCTGCCATCTAGGGGTCTGTGGAGCGGGCCCAGAGCCCACAGTGTGTCCTGGCCAGTGTGCCCATCACTGGGGGGTACTGGTCCCCCGCAGCGCGTGTTCACCTGTGCAGGACAGCCACCCCCACCCAGGTGAGCGCCGCCTTCTGCTCCTGGGACACAAAGGAACTGGGTTCTCCTTCATCAGCCACCGTAGGCCTGTGGACACCGAGCTGAGACCGCAAGGCCACCAAGGGCAGAGGCCAAACGGCCTCAGACAGGGAGATGGAGGCACCTGCAAATGAAAACGGGGGCGGAGATAAAGCCGGGCAGTGACGGCATGGACCGTGAAGCCTGCTGACACCCAGGCTCATGCCTGCATCGGGACATTGTGCCCCTGCCTGGAATGGTTTCCTCCAGATTCCCACAAAACGTGCTCCCTCGCTTCCTTTCGATCTTTGCTCAAATGCCTTCTTCGTGGAGTCTCCCCTGCCCAGCCTGCCTAAAATTCCCTCCCCTGGCTTTCCGGATACTCCTTGTCCTGCTCTAACTTGTCCGGTGATGAGTATCACTGCATCCTCCCAAGTTGTCTTACAAACGAGGCTCCCATCTCCTGTCTTGGCGCTGAATCAAGTCTGCATCTGGGGCAAATCGGGACAGCTGACCACGCGGCTCTTGTACTTATGGCTTCGCTCTCTCTGCCCTGCTGGAGTGAGCGCCCCAGGAAGGCACCGCTTGGTTTCCTGTCTTGGTCACTGCTCCATCCCAAGACCCTGCAACAGCACCAGGCAGAGGTGCTGGCTTCCAGAGTTCAGCCCGCGTCGTCCAGTGCCCCGAGCCCTGCCTGTTCCACTTCCTCCACAGCTCTTGCTCCCTTCCATGCACCCCAAGTCTTACCTATCTGTGGACTGTTTTACGTCTGCCTGTCCCCGCTGCAGGACAAAGAGTTACCCTAAGCAGCCAGGATGGTGCGCAGCACACAGCAGGCACCCCGTAAACACCTACTGAACAAATGAACACCTCTGATCCATCAGGCACTCTGCTAGGGGCTGGGGAGAGTCCCTGCTGTCCTGGGGCTGGTCTGCTCAGAGGGGACCCTGATAAACACGCAAGCGATCAAGAAATGACAAATTCTGACGGACCCAGATCAAAAAGGGGCACATGAACAAGCGTGGAAGCGGAGCGGAGGGACGACAAGTGAGCTGAGGCCATGAGGAGGGAGAAGACAAGGGACCCACACCCACATGTCCTCCTGTGAGACCGCTCAGCTGGCGCTGGGGACCCACAGAAAGGCAGCCCAGGGGCCCAGGGCCAGGGGTTTAGTCAAAGCATAGTGGGGCAGAAGACCCTGGTGAAGTTTTCAGCATGTACGGTACCTCTCGGGAGTGAAACTCCAGGTGTCGGTAAACAGCCACCTACCCGAGGGCCACTCGGCCACCACCCGCCTCTGTAAACCAAGCGGGACTGGAACACAGCCCCCGCCCAGCGCCTTGGTCTGTGCACTGGCGAGGCCCCCTGGGCTGCAGCAGCACCCAGTCCTGGGTTAGGTCGCTGACCCCCATTTTAAGGTGACTGTTCAGGGCACAGGCGGCCCTTCCTGCTCCCCCACACCAGGTCTGGCTGACCAGCACCGAGGCCCATCCCCTCTCCCAACCCCCAGGGACACACACCTGCGGCCGCGCCGGCGTCTCCGCCGCTCGGCTGCAGACCCTCCCCGTCGCCTCTCTGCTCCTGCCCGGACTGAAGGAAAAGAACACCCAGCTTCCCGCCGCCTGGGCTTGGGACCTCCCTGCCTCTCCCCGGGGCGTCCTCCACCGCCAAGCTCCCTGACCCAGCCCTGCCAGCTGCCTGGCCGGGACGAGGTACCTGCTGTCCCTCTCTGCACGCTCTCCCCGCAGCTCCAGGTCCCCACCGCCCCTTTCCGCCCCCGGCCGGGGCACCGTTCTTCCGTCGACCGCAGTCCTGCCGTCTGGCCTGGCTGCCCCTGGTTAGCAGTGCGGGCCGCAGGCCTCCGCGCCTTCTGCTCCGCTCAGCCCGCAAGCGCCCGCGTGCGCAGCCCCAGCGCAGCAGTCCCGAGCCCGGTCCCCCCGCGGTCTGCACACGCGGCTGCTGCAAGCACCGGGCGCGACGGCCACCAGGCACCCCGAGGGCAGAGTCGGGCCGCGGGCGTGCGCCGCACGGTGAGCGCCGCCATCCTCAGCGCCGTCGTTGGCATGCGCTCTCGCGGCGGGGCCTGGCCTGCCCCTCGGCCTCGTCCCTGCCGGGGTGTGGGGGCTGGGGCGGGGGCTGCGAGAGGCGGCCGGCCTCCCTTCCCTTCCTTCAGTGTCTTGAGAGCCAGACTCTCCCCTGGGCAGAGTCCCCTGCACCCGCGAACTGCAGGCCTGCAGTGGAGGCCGGGGGCCCGTCGCGCGCAGGGCCGTGCCTCGACCTCCCTCCCGCGCATCGCCAGGGACCCCAGCGTCCACCTTCCACGTGGGGAGACAGAAGCCCGACGGCGTGACCGACGGCGTGACCGACGCCGGGACAGGCTGCCAGGCCACAGGCGGCCAAGCCCTCAGGGCGTGCGGCCTGCTCCTTGGCCCCCCGCGACGCACGACGCGGGTCACGGGGCACTGCCCGCACAAAATGGCGCCTCACAGAAAAATGCAGCCGACTCTCAGCGCCCACCCCCACCGCGGCCTGGGGAGCGGGCGCGGGGGCCGCGCACTTGGCGTTTGCATGTACAAAACCGACGAATTTCCTTGGCGCGAGGGGCGAGGCCCGCACTAGGCAAGCCCCCATTGGTTCCATTCCATTCGTCCCCGCCTCCTGACACCGCCTTCTCTGCCAAGGGCTGTCGCCTATGAGCCTCGTGACGCCAATCTACGATGGCGCCTCCCTATTGGCCAGTCATCCTTCCATCATCCGTTTAAACCCCCCAAGTCCCGCCCATCCTGGCCTTGCCCCGGCTCCGCGGCCGACCGTTAGTCGCGTGCGCGAGTTCCTGGGCGTCGGGGCACGCGCGCGTACGCCGGGCAGAGGCGGTGTCTCGTTCAAACGGGCCAATTAGCGGTCGCGTTACCCCTCGCGTCTTGTCCCCCTTTTCCCTCCCTTCTGAGCGCCTCCATTCTCCAGGGACCCCATTACGACCCTCGCCTGTCCCCATTGGCCAACCCGCCGCGCGCCGCCCTCCCCAACTTCTCCGGCTTCTTCCCGCAGCTTACGGGAAGAGAGCGAGCGCCTCGAACGCCGAGGACCGTGCGCGGTGACGTCACGGGTCAGGGCGCGGCGCTCCGGAGCCGCGGGGGGGGTGTGGCCTACGGGTGGATATAAAAGGGCGGCAGTGCGCGCGCGGCCGGCTCAGTGCGGCCGGGTACTCGGGGCGGGAGGAGTTCTAGGCTCGCTGCGCGGCGGCCGTCGGAGGCAGCGGGGAGTGGAGCGGGGCCGCCGGGGCCTCTCCAGGGCCGCAGCGGCAGCAGTTGGGCCCCCCGCCCCAGCCGGCGGCCGGGAGAGCGCAGGAAGGGGGCCGGGGGGACCCGCCCCCGGCCGGCCACAGTCATGGTGAGCGCGGAGGCCAGGCCTGGGAGGGGCGGCCGAGGGGCCCCACTGGAGGAGGAGGCGGGGTCTCAGGAGCCTCTCGCGGACCGCCCGGCGGAGTGGGGGGCCCGCCTGGGGTCCCGGGCCTGGAACGGGCTCACGGGCCTTCCTGGAGGCGGGGCAGGAGCGGAGCCTGGGTGGCCCGCAGGTTCCCCGGAGGGGAAGGCCCGACGGAGTCCCGGGGAGGGCTCAGGGGCTTTGTGGCTCGTCCGTGGGTGTTCCGGGAGCAAGGACGCTCCGCCTCCGTCTCCAGCCCCGAGCTGGGGTTTCGAGGAGGGTTTCACCAAGGTTAGGTAGGGATGAGGGGACCAGGGTAGGCCTCGGGCGTACCCGGAACTATGGGGGACCATGCTGGACTATGAGCGAGCTTTGGATGCTTCTGGCGAAGGTGGACCCATCCACAAGCTCCTCGAAAACCGCCCCCATGTCTAGTGGGAGGTCAGCTTGGGATGGCCATCTGAAGCATACCGGGTGGGGGATCTGGGACGGCAGGTCAGCACCAGGGTGGCCACTGCGTCCTTAGATCCTGCAGGAGGCCCCGACTCCGCCAGCTACTCACGCTCTTCTCTGTGTCCAGAACTCCAATGTGGAGAACCTGCCCCCCCACATCATTCGCCTGGTCTATAAGGAGGTGACAACGCTGACTGCTGACCCGCCTGATGGCATCAAGGTCTTTCCCAATGAGGAAGACCTCACTGACCTGCAGGTCACCATCGAGGGCCCCGGTGAGTGTGGGATTGGGGGGAGGAGGAGTGTGCTCCGTCAGCACGTGACAAACAGCATGTGGTTTCACCTATACGTGGCATCAGAGATGCAAACGAACACCAAAGAGCAGAACTGGAACAAGACAGGAAGCCCCCATTATGAGTTGGGCCCTGCCAGGTGCTGGGGACTGCACAGAGACACCTCTTGGGGCTCACGGTTTATAGGGCAGGACTCCATAAATAACAAGTCATTGGGGATATTTTTCCAGCAGGTAGTGAGAAAACCCTGATCCCCGAGAGAGCATTTAAGGGGTGCCTTAGAGGGTTCATCAGATGGGGGTTCTCTGGAGGGTGGGCCCCACGACCATAGACCGACTCCTTGCTGCTGTGCCCGGGGTTCCCAGGACAGGGAAGGAGCCAGACCCATTGTGGCGGGAGGGAACAGTAGTAACTGGGTGATCACATGTGTAGTGCTGTAGTGAGCTGTTTCTGCAAAGTAAGCTGAGAAGGTCCCATGAGCGTGTGGCGGAGCAGCTGGTTGGGAGTGGGACAGTGGTGAGGGTGTCCGTGCTCCCCGATAGGCCGAGTCCTGAGGCAGGCGCCCTGGGTACTTGGTAGAAGCAGGAAGAAGAGACCGAGGAAGCTTTTAGGGCTTGTAGGATTCTGGAAGGAGTTTGGAAAGGAAGCCGTTGGTGGGTTTCAGGCAGGTGTGAAGGCTGCAGTGTTCAGCTGATGGGGAGGGGTGGCCCGGAGACCACGGACCACTGGTGTTGGGTGAGAGGTAAAGTGGCTTGGCCGGACTAGAAGGTGGGGTCAAATTCAGGAGGGGACCAGGAGGTTAGCTGCCCAAGCTACCAGAGGGATCTGGTGACCCGGGCATGAGGAACAACTGTGGGTCCAGAACCACTCCCCCTTTTTCTGTGACATGAGCAAGTTGGGGGATGAGAACCACTGAGTGGGCAGATGGGAAGACTGGAGGTGACAGAACAGTCCCCTCATCTGTCTGCAGGCTTTCCTACCAAGTAGATGGTTTTCCAGAAAGACAAGTGCTCGCGGGAAGTGTCTGCCCTTCTTGGGAAGGGTGTGTGACCGAGACACTTGAGAGACAGGCATCCGTGGTGGCTGTTGGGTCTGCTGGAACCTGGCCCCATCTGGCCGTCAGGGATGCCCCGGTGTGGTGGGGGAGGCGGCGGGACACTGGCCTCCCAGCCAGCCCTGGAGACTAGGCGGTGCCAGAGAGTCCGAGCTTCCCGATCAAGCCCCCTCTCCCTCACTCCAGAGGGGACCCCTTACGCCGGAGGCCTGTTCCGTATGAAACTCCTGCTGGGGAAGGACTTTCCTGCCTCCCCACCCAAGGGCTACTTCCTGACGAAGATTTTCCACCCCAACGTGGGCGCCAACGGTGAGATCTGTGTCAACGTGCTCAAGAGGGACTGGACGGCTGAGCTGGGCATCCGGCACGTGCTGCTGGTGAGTTCTGGGGTGGCGCAGGCGCCTCCCTCCCGGATGTCCCACTGATGTCTGAGCCATGGTGCACGGTGTCTGTTTGAAAATCAACCCCGAGGGAGTTGGGAGCTTCCATGTAAAACTCCAGGTCCAGCTGGAAAATTCTGGAAGGGTCGGCAGTGTTTGAGCCAGGACGCTAAGTGCGGCTGTCCAGGCTGCGTAGTGTATGGGGCATGTCTGCTGTAGGGCCATCTGTGGGCCTGTGTCCTAGACGCTCTCCTGGTGGGACAAGTCAGCATGCAGTTAGGGGCTGGTTTCCCTCCGGAGCCAAGTTTGCAGCATCGTCAAATCCGCGTTCTCAGGTGTGCGGCCCGTTAGTTGTCACCATTGTGGTTCTTGAGTATTTTCATGAGCCGCCCGCTGTCTGCCAGCAGCGATGTGCCCCGCGGGGGCGTTTTGTCTTGTCATTGTGGTATCTAGTGGGGCAGAGCAGGGGTCCACCTGATGGCCCCCACAGCACCCTGTCGGCTGAGCCAGCAGGACACACCCTTGACCCCCACAGGCCGATAAAGCAGTTAGGTCCCCTGCCGGCTCCACCAGAAGAGCAGGGACTCTTGATCTTGGGGGCCTGAGTTCAAACCCCGTGTTGGGCATAGAACTTACTTTAAAAAAAAAAAAAAAAAAAAAAAAGATTTTTTTAATGGAATTGCTGACAAGCCCTGGGGCAGATGGTAGGGGGATGAGGAAACACGGAGTTTCCTGCAGGGCACTAGGGGAGGATTGAGTTCCAAGGTAAACATCCTCCTCCTCTCCCGGGAGTGTCTGCCACGGCTGCCAGGGACCCTGGAGATGAGCTCACAGAGTGACTGTGTCCCCAGGCATCCCAAGGAGCTGCAGTGTGGGGTCTGGGCCCAGCTGTGCGGGAGCGGCAGGGTCAGGGGTGCCAGGCCAGGTGCGCTGTGTGTCTCAGCAGTCAGGGAGCTGCTCTTACGGGCCTCGTTTGCAAGCCAGAAAGGTCCTGTCGCCTGATAGAGGCCGGGCATGTGTTGGGCATTGCAGGCCCCCCCGTCACTGTGGCTGAACGTGGAGGTGGGACAGACACCACGGCGCGGGGCCGCCGCTGGTCCAGCCAGACCCAACTCAGGCCCGTAGGGCTGCCCGCCGCACCTGCACAGAGTCTGTGCACTTTCGGCTTCAGCTCGCCCCTCGTTAAAGGGGCTCAAGAAGGCGTATTGGGACTGGCTCCCACCCTGGACCTCCCTCTGGGTGCTCCTCGAGTACCTGTTCCCCCGTGGGCCTGTGCAGGTGACACTGGGCAAAGGTGAGGACACTGTTGTGACCAGGGCCAGAGTCGCTTGGGGGGTGGTGTTGAGAGCAGGGAACAGCCAGTGGCTGAACTCTGGAGGCTTGGGGGCCCGTGGGTGGCCTGCCTAGCCCTGACCTTGGCCCTCTCCCCACAGACCATCAAGTGCCTGCTGATCCACCCAAACCCTGAGTCCGCGCTCAACGAGGAGGCAGGCCGCCTGCTCTTGGAGAACTACGAGGAGTACGCCGCCCGCGCCCGCCTGCTCACCGAGATCCACGGGGGCGCCGGTGGGCCCAGCAGCGGGAGCACCGAGGCTGGCAGGGCCCTGGCCAGTGGGGGTGCCGCCCCCTCCACTGACCCCATGGCCCCCGGGGGCCCAGGAGGGGCCGACGGTCCCATGGCCAAGAAGCACGCTGGTGAGCGGGATAGGAAGCTGGCGGCCAAGAAGAAGACGGACAAGAAACGGGCCCTGCGGCGACTGTAGTGGGTTTTTCTCCCAGCTCTACCCCCTCCCCAGACCCCAACCCCCAACGCTGTCTCTAAGTTATTTAAATTATGGCTGGGGTGGGGGAGGGTGTGGGGCACTGGGACCTGGATTTGTTTTTCTAAATAAAGTTGGAAAAGCAGCTGCTCTGCCTCACAGACACTCCAGGACCGCCTGCCTCTGCCACAGTGGTCCCCCGGGCCTCGAAGTGCGTGTGCAGGGCTGCCGTGGGCGTGTCGAGGGAGGAGGGAGCCCCATGTCCCCGCTGAGAGCCGGGGAGCTGGGCCCTCACTCCATCACACTTGCCCTTGTTCTTTCCTGAAGTAGGTGTGTGGCTTGGCAGGGTTCCTGTCTGGGACAGCCAGGTGACAGGTGTGGGCCCAGCTCAGGGTGACAGAGCACCTTCCATGTGTACCTGTGCATCCTGCATCCCCCTCCGCTGCTCTGCGGCCTGGGCGGGCTGTGCTGGCTGCTCCTGGCTTTGCAAGTGACAGCCCCTTCCAGTCCACGCCCCTAGCTCTTCAAGCTGACGGGTTTCAGGCCCTCTGGCTGTGGGGGTCCGAGGCTGTCCTCCACTCTTGGAAGCTTCCTGGGTTATTCCCGTTGGGCCCCTCTCCCCACCCCTCTCAGCCTCAGGTGCCCACTTAAGGGCCGGGTCCTTCAGAGGCTCAGCAGATTGGGTGAGGCCACCCGGGTACTCCTGTTTAACCCCAAGTGACCTAA